AAAAACCAATTATCCATCCGTGAGAGGTCGGGCAGGATGGAGGTTTCCATTCTAGCCCGATACTCCCAGCGGCTCGAGACAGCATGGCCGTCATCTCGGGATCTGACGCGGACAACGCTGGGACTCCCGAAGGAGGCAACGCAGCCGGATCTTCCTCTCCCGAGGAATCAAGCCCGCCTAGTGATGCTGTGATAGACATCGCATCATCATCTGGGGCGCTGCTCGAAGCAGCCGGTGCCGCCGAAGAGACAACCGACCGAGTCGAACTAGCGCCCGCTGGCTCACGCACTGATGCGGGAGGTGTGGCCCGAGGAATCGTCGGGGCTTTATCCCACACCGTCACCGTTAGATCGCCGGTCCCCGGGTCGACGGGCCCCCTTTCGTGAAGGAAGCCGATCGAGTAGGGGGGACCGGGGCTCTCACTCTAGTGAGATCATTGAGCCGCGACCTCAGTGTGGAGATGGTCATGGTCCCACAGAAGGAACATGAGTCATCCACGAACGCTGCTGCTGCATGCTGAATGCCCAAGCAAACAAAGCAGCGTTCGTGACCATCAGATGACGACAGAAATCTACCACATCCAGAAGGGCACGGGCGAGCCATCTTTAAAAAGACGTGCCGCGTGCAGCTCTTTTACAGAGAGGAGAGAAATTCACTCTTTCAGCGCTGAGGCTACCAGGGAGAAGCGCAAAGTCTGGCAAACCACTGCACAGATCGCAGGCAATGCAGAATCTCGCTGGGTACCGCCGTCACACCAACACTGAAGAGGACGCTCGTCTCGAAGAGTCTTGAATCAGCTTTGAGGAGTGAAGAGGTTCTCTTGGCTCCGAAGCGAAAACATACTGCGGTTGCGTTCACTTCCTCCTTTTATACTCACGGAGTAGGGCGGAGTACGCTATGCAAATTTCCGCAGCCCCAAGGCATTGCATGCCATTGGCTCGTGTTTAAATACTCGAAGAGGATTGGCTTTCTATGCGAAATCCCCAATCTCCGTCACTTCTGACGTAACTCGAAGTGACTACGAAAGGGAACTAAGGATAAATAAATAAAAACGAATGACTTAATTTAGGCTATTTTATTACAGTCCATTCAATATATTTTTTCAATATATTTCCTTTGTTTATATATTTAACTATGTTTTAATAATTTATATGCAGGCGTTTGATATTGAACTTGTCATTAAAATTAAACAATTAATATAATTAAATAACCAGTGTACATTCCAAAAAATGTCATCATGGACACACTGAGCTGCAGTTATATTCATTTATTCACACCTAAACGAGTGTCTAGGTGCGAATAAATTAATAACTGCAGCTCAGTGTGTCCATGATGACATTTTTTTGGGCTCCACTTATATGATGTCATGTGCTGAAGTAGTATTGTAGACTTTAGATATTTTAGACTTGTTTGGAATATGATGTCTAAAATTGTTTTGATCAGCTTGGTGGTCTTTCATTTTTGTTAATTTGCGATTACAAAATGTAAAACTTTCAGTTAATATACAAAGAAGTCTTGGTTTCCAGACTCATAGTTCACTTTGAAATTAATTTTTGGTATGTTTTAGCTTACCTCAAGGGTATCCAAGATTTGTTTCCACAGCATTTTCAATATATATATATATGACCAAGGCTACTTCATTGGTTCACTTGCTGACTGTAGTCTCATGAAGCAACCACAAGGTGTCAGGCCATCATCACAGTCACACACACAGATTTCACTTAAACAGATTTTCACGTCCAGACATTTATAGAATAAACACTTTAGGAAACCACACTCATTTGAGGTTAAGGTTTTTTCTTTAATACATAAAAAATAGTAAAAACATCAGGCGTTGTTAGGCACGACGCAAAGTGGATACAGCACAGCCTCTCCTACCTTATTGCTTCCATAAAATAATTATTAACTTTTTGTATTCACACATGTATGCTACTTATTGTCCAGTAAACATGTCAGTAAACAGTAACCTTCTCACAGTCGATCCAAAGGGTCACTATTTGTTGATAGTTTCTGGTATTTAAAGGTCAACACTGTGACCTATGCATCAAATGCGGCTCACTATATGAGCTTGAATGTATGTGCACACTTGCAGGACTGACGTCAGGACCGAATGAGCATTGTGTTCCTCTACCTCGTCTTTTCATAAAAGATTCAAGGCAGTGAATGACCTGAGAGCACACACAGGTGAGTGGTGGAGAAAGAGATAACTAACAGGATCAACAGCTCTGTCATTCCTCACATTCCTCAGTGTGAATCGCATTCCTCGCTCACACAGCTACACCTGCTGTCCATGAGGGCCCTCTAAACACGCTGGTTATTTCCTAAAGCAACACTAAGTAAGATTTTTTTTACCTTAAAATAATGTTTCCAAAATGGTTCATCAAGTCGTAACAGGGTGAAAGGCACTTCTGGATTCGCTTTGTGGCCCTACATCTGCTGTAACCACGCTATGTAATATTGCCAGATCGGGTCTCGTTTCTGATACAGAGAAGAAAACTACAAATTTGAATTGCTTTACGTCAAGCGTTACAATAGTCATTATTTTGTTTTTCTTCATGTCTGAAGTCGCAATCATCATACTTTCATAAAATCATGCAACATCTACCTTGTCTGTGGACATCGTTCATTCCAATGCCGGTGCTGGATAAACAGCGAGCGTACGTGCAACACTATGATGCGCTAGGATAAATTATTTACAACAGTGGTAATGGACAATTCCGCTTCCAGCCTGTAGGGCGACCGCAGAGGAAAGGTTACTTGGTGTGTCTTTAAGGGCCGGTTCACATATCGCCTCTTTTGCGCGCTCAAGTTCGTTATTTCAAATGTAGGCGCACGGTATGCGCGCTCATAATGGAAGCGGTGCGGTCGCGGTGCGACGGGCTCGTTTTTTCCATGCGCGTCCGCGCCGCGTCGAGAACATCTCAACTTTTCAGAATACCGCAAGCGCACCATACGCACACAATAGGTCATGTGACAAGAACCAACTGAAGCGCAACCGCCCTGGCGCTTTGCAAAATGGAGAATGCGGCGCGCCCAGCGTTTTCTACGCGTTTTTAGGCGCTATATGTGAATCCGGCCTAAAGGTGTGGTATAATGGCCTGATGTCCCCAGAGTGTGTATATGAAGTTGTAGCTCAAAATACCCCACAGATATTTTTATATATCATGTTAAAATTGTCACTTTTTGAGGGTGAGCAAAAACGCACCGTTTTGTGTCTGTCCCTTTAAATTCAAATGAGCTGCTGCTCCCGGCACAGAGGGCGGAGCTTCAACAGCTTGTGTCCTTTTACCTCACACACACATGCACTGAACATTGAACAAACTTTTAGTCTTTTATGCTCAAACCGAGTCAGACAAAGAAGTGACACCATGTAGAAGCAACAGGACATTTCTGAATGGTTAGTTGATGAATTTATGTAGCGTATTGTAGTTTTCATCTAGACATTGGTTAGCATATTCTGTCATGATAATCTATAAATCGTGTTCCCGGGGGCGGGCTTTATGTAAATTTTAGGGTTAGTGATGTCACTAGACTGTGAGGAATATCTGTAGTTCATACTAGCCAATTGTTGTAATAAAGCAATTTCTGAAACTTTCAGTTCGATAAAGGATTTTCTTTAAAAGCAAATATCTCCCTTTGCTTTGAACTTTGAGCGTTGTAACTTTGCAGATGTTGTTTAAGCTCAAACCGCAAAATTACACATTAACTAGAAAAGTGAAATCACAATCATCCACCCCTTTAAGAACAGTTGTGATATATTGCCTCATCTTCTTTCAAAAGAGCTGAGAACAATGCTTGCAATGGCTTTCGTGTGTTGATGATTCAAAACATTGCATTGTGTTTTTTACCATTCTTCTTGGAAGTCTAGATTATTTGATTTGAATAGTGCTATTACAGAGCATGGACAATATATGGATGGCTGTATTAGCCAATTCTTGCATTTTTATTATATCTGAATTGGCTGATTTTGGAAGCTTTTGTAACTATACTCATTTCATTTTTACTGTATAGTATAATTTTTTGCCTGAGTTTAGAATTTGATATTCTAGATTGGAGATTTACTGTGAAAGAATAAATAGATTTATAATGTCAGACAATATTGCTGGAAAATACAATATTGGCCTGGTTTCACGGACAGGATTAGACCTTAGTTCAACTATAGGAGAGCTTTAATAAATATGCCTCATAAAAAATACTGGTGTTCATCTTGAGATTGAGATAATATAATCAATAAATCAATAAAACCAATAAAGAATAAATTATTATTAAAATACGTTACAATAAAATAAGTCTAATTTACAGTAGTCAACATTTGAATCAAAACCTTTTATCAAAGTTATGCATGAATTTTGAACAAACCCGTTCTTGTATTAGGACAACTTTGATTGACTTTTTCGATCCACTTCAAATGTTGACTACTGTAAATTAAAAAGCTAAAAAAAACCTACACAAACAATTATCTATAATTTAGCATAGCATAGGGTTCTATGGAATATAACTTCTGAATTTGCAATCTAATGTATAAAATTAATCATGTTAATTAATTTAATATATCAATGAAAAAAGTTTGAAAACAAGCAACTTTATCATAATTGCAGCAGAAAGGTTATTTTATTTTTAAATATGCAGTATTTGTGTGTTTTTGCATATATATATATATATATATATATATATATATATATTATATATATATATATATGCTGTATATATACTGTATATATAAATGATAGCTGTGCAAAGAGTAATTGCATGTATATATTTAATAAAATGTGTAATGTGTATATATATATATATATATACACACATTACACATTTTATTAAATATATACATGCAATTACTACATGCAATTATATATATATATATAATATATATATATATATATATATATATTCATTTATTACTTCGGTCACGTTAGTGTCATGAATGCTCCTCCGAGGCTAATTGTTCATGTTGTTAATAATTAATGAGCGCTCGTGCTCGTGTCAGCCCGTAGCCCCGCCCACCAGCAGATCAGCGGCTGACGGCTGAACCCGGCGAACAGTCAGTCAGAGAGATACACACACACTCAACACGTCCAGCCATCATCTGGGGAATATAACACTTTATTTCACTGGTCGTGTAAATCTTTGAATCTGTGTGATCGGGTTCACGTAACGTTACATCTGTGGATATACGAGCAGTTCATCTGACCCGCCGCTGAACAGGTGAGTCGATTCACCTTTACCTATCCGTCTGAACCAGGCTGATGATCGGGTTGATGATGTTATTGTAATAATAATGCCGATGTTTGTAATAGCGATGGTTTATGATGTTATTGCTAGCTAACCAGCTAACAGACTGTTTGTCTTAGAGTTCATAAGGTAGCATCCGGCTAAGTGAGCTGCTAACAAGCCACTAGCGAGATCAAATGACTCAAACTGATGGTTTCTGTGTAAAAACAATGTGTCTTGTGTGTTTCGTGTCGAGGGTTTGGCTGTGGTTTACTGGGTTATGGGTTTGGGTTGTTTGTTGAAGAGTTGCTAGCTGAGCTAGCCGGTTAGCAGCTCACCTGCCACAGATTCACAACACTTCACTAAATACACCATTACTGTGATCACATATCATGTACTCTGTTATTATGAACACCAGAGTAGTGGAATATCTTATGTTACGAGGTATTTTTGGGCTATTGACATGCAGTAAACAGTAATTCATGCCTGTAATTGCTTCAGTGGTTGGACATGCTTAGGCTGGTCAAGGTAACGCTGGCATAGTTTGACATGAGTCAGGAACTTGACATCTTTTTTGTGTTTACCACTTTTTAATCATCAATCTGCTTATACATCTAGTGTTTCAAAACAACCATTGTGTGTAGCTGTCACACTCCAGAATGATGGTTTGGTGAAGAGGGACAGGTCTGTAAAGATCATAGTCTAGGTCACATAACAAGAAGTCAGTCACATCTCAGTTATCACTTGACATAATGTTTTGATGTGCAACAGTTTAGAGAACCTTTATGTAAAATATAAAGAAAATAGTTTGCACAGTTACCATACTAGATCAGGCTTTTACTCGTATAGCATGACATAATGAGAATGTGGAGGGGAAAACACCTCACTTTTATTCAGAAGCCCAAACTGAGCAGAAATATGCAATTAGATAGTCAAAAAGTTAAATGAAACTGAGGCTCAATGTAAGTGAACGAGATTTATAACAGTATTGCAGACTATCGACATAAAACAGGCCTATGTTTATCAGTCGTCACCATATCTGCCAATAATATGTCTTAGTAAGATGATATTCAAATGCTTAGTTTATAATCAAAGCTCTGTAGTTTTAATGCAATGCAATACAATGATGATTGAGAGATGAACAAATAACCCTTCCTCAAAAGCCTGATGATCATATTTGAGTGTGATTTTTCTAAAAATGATATTTGGGTAATCAAATAGCTTAGTTGCTATTGCTAAGCAAGTACATATTTAACAATATAAAAGTTATCTTACTTTTACTTTTAGTCAGTGCAGGTTTCACAACAGAAAGACACGAGCTGAAGGGGGACGTTTGTTCAATTATACTAAAAGACCTGGCTTTTACTTGATGATAAAGTCTAAACTATCAATCAGACGACAGATTGTCGTAGATTGTGTGCAACAGGTTTTACAGCAAAGTTTTGATCATCTAGACTAGAGGCCTTAGAAACTGAAGTATCCAACATGATTACAGCTACAATTTGGCTTTAGTGCTAAGCTCTGGTTTTAGCGATGGTCTCTTCCCTCATCCACATGTAGAATATCAGGCACTTTCTGATCAGATAATTACACAAGGCTTAGTCAGTGACGTATTCATCGTAAATCAACCATAAATACCAACCAAAACCAAACAATGTTGGATTTCCCTTGAACACCGATAGGTTTAGTTGTAACCACATGTTCAGGGTTTGGCTTTTCTCAGAAGTTTGATGACATTGGGAAACGAGTGTATCCAGTTGATGAGTCATCAGAATGGGAGTTGCTGTCAAACTGCACACTTACGATGGGCTTTCTTGTGGGATGAAGTCATTTCTCATTTCCTTATAGAGGCCAGGCTTTGCCGAGATACAAATCGAGAGGGTGCTCTTATCTGTTTACTCGGCTACCTTTGGTTCCAGCGGTCCTGCGTTGCTCAGCGGTTAATCATTATTCACGTCCAAAACTCTGTACCCTCGCCAGTACGCTTCATTTGGACGGTGTTTTCAAATGATTGTGCTCAAGGTTGCGCATGTGTAAGCCTACTATAATGTGACTGATTTTGCAGTTGGCCGTACTCTTTTCTTTTCTGTCGTGGATGATTTGGTCTTCCCTCCGTTCTTCTAATTTATCAGGACTGCGTCTGCTCCGTTTCACATTCCCTGTTTTATAGGTGCGTGCAAAGAGAGGTCACGGCTCTGGATGAACGGCTGAGTCACGTGAGCCGTGCGGAGATATTACTGCCGTTTCTGCACATGGACTTTGACCTGGTGTGTGTCCAGTTCTCTGACTTACTGCTGACATCACAGTCAATGACAGCACATTCATGAAATGTTATCTGGGAATCCAGCCATAGCCTACCTCCTTTTTCACCAAAATGGAGCTGTGTTTGATCTGCGAATCACTCTCAGAACCACTTTTGGAAATCTCTTACTTCAACTTCTGAAAACATAAGTAATTTAATTCAGTGTGTTTGATGCAAGTCGGAAGTTATTTAAAAAGTTGCGATAAATTGGAAGCAAGTAGCGTTGACCATATATGGCCTGTTTACACCGGGTCACTTCATTGCTGATAGTTACCTGATTTATTTAAACGATTCCATTACACTAAGGCTGGCCAACGATTAATCGTGATTAATCGTATCCAAAATAAAAGTTTGTGTGTACATAAAATATGTATGTGTAGTGTGTATACTCACTAGGGGTGTAACGGTACATGTATTCGTATTGAACCGTTTCGGTTCGAGGCTTCCGGTTCGGTACGCATACAAACCGAACGATTGCTTGGACCATTTTTCCTGCCGGCAAAATTCGAGCTGATGCGGCCAACACAACGTTGCGCAACATCAAATGGCAAGCGTAATGAAAGCAGAATGAAACTGCGCTGCTCGTTATGTGCTTCATGGATCGTTTATCAGTTCGGACTACCGATTCTTTTGAACAGCTCATAAACATGAACGATGGGAGCCGAGTCGCGGCTGGAGGGGAGCCGTTCTTTCTGTCGTTCTTTTTTTCCTATGCGTGTTTTACACAGATGCATTAGCTCCTCGGTTAAAGGGGAAGGGGCGCACCCAGCGCAGGGGTGATAGTTGTGCACGCGCGTGCATCTTTTACTCTTACGTTATCTTTTATAACCCTACGTGCCTATGTCATTATGTGCACGCTGCCATCACATGGTTACTCCAGTTAAAAAAAAGCCATAAAGTAAGGAACTGCTTGTATTTATTTACATTGCATTTTGCGTTCATGTTATTGTATCTACAGTATATATTTACAACTTTAAATATTTTTTGTTTTTTCTTGTGGTATTGTATGAATAACATAAGTCAACAGCTTTACACATACCCACACTTTGTACTAAATGTACAATTCACCATGGATTTAATGTCACTAACTGGAACCAGTTTGGCTGGAATGGTGAAATGCTTTCAAGTACTTCACACATCTTTTTCCAGCACTTCAAAATTCAAATATTATATAAATAAATATATATTTAAATGTTATTTTTAATGTGATGACCAAAACATTATTTGTTCATCCTTCAAAGATGACCCATTTATAAACCTGAAAGTTTCAAGATCTAGGAAAACTCACACTTATTTAAAAATATTTTTTCTTTAAACAAATAGTAAATTTCTCTGGCATTTCTTTCTTTTTGCTGTATCGAAAACGTACTGAACCGTGACTTTAAAACCGAGGTACGTACCGAACCGTGATTTTTGTGTACCGTTACACCCCTAATACTCACACATGCATGTATATATTTAAGAAATAATTGCATACTGTATACATATTTATACATAATTTACATTGAATATAGATATTAATATTTTATATATTATTAACACATTTTTCTTAAATATATGCATGTGAATGAATTTTTATATACAAAATAATTGTACACAGTACACACACATATTATGTAAACACAAACTTTTATTTTGGATGCGATTAATCGCGATTAATCGTTGCACAGCCCTAAACTTGGTCACAAAATGTGTTTCCGCAAAACGGATGTAAATCCACGCTGATCTTCAGTTCCCGCGCAGATATAAAGGAGTTCACGTCAACGAAAGCAACAGATATGAGCTGCATTTGATTGACCATCGGCTAATTTCAAAATCAAAGCCGATTGTTGGATAATAGGAGCTTCATTTACTTTCAATTTGAATTTTCGCTTAATTTCACTTTGGTTTGCAATAGTTTGCGCGTTGTCTTGATGAAGAGATGCTCATCTGTGGTTGTGTGTGTTGCAGTAGCGTCGTCATATCTGACTATAACATGACATGTAGCATATAACACGCTCTCACACGTTAATTTTTTAGCATTGTTGAATGGGAGGAGTAAAATGTATGTGGTTTCAACAACCACCTGCAGTGGCCAGGTTTTTAAAAACAGGCCCATCATGATGCACATCCGGACTATTGATTGATTGGATGGATGGAGGAAGATTTGAATGCGAGCTTGCAGTCGATTTTAAGAAAGTCATGGGGTTTAAGTGGACTAAATTGATGGAGAAGCAGAGAGAAAACACCATAAGATCCGGATATGAGATTTTGATTACATTAAAACGTTACTGAATTTTGCAGGGCTTGACATTAACGATGTAATGATTCTCTACAGAAACATTTTTTGTTATGCTGGTTTTACGTCTACTCATATTCTGATAGCAATCACTATTTTAAGCAGTCTAAATGTCTTTTTATATCTTCTGTGGAAGGTTTAGGACCATAAAATGGTTGTTCAATCATTGCATTCAGTTCCAAAATGGCAGATATGGCTGGCAAACATTTATGTTTGTTATTGTAATAGCCTACTGTTACTCACTGTACTGTAGCATTTTCTCACCGGTGAATGACATGATGTAATTTAATAATATCGCTTCTGGTCAGTGCATGTTGTGTTCATGTGTTTTTTAAGGAGGCTTCGTTTTGAATGGCGATTTTCAGGGAGGTTGGGATCGCATGCGTTCAAGCTAGCAGGCTAAATTTAACATTT